ATAGTTTGATTTCTATTTAAGTCATTGTAATAAATTGTATTTGATTAGGTGATTCTGGTGGACCAATCTTACAATGGCTTGATAATCGATGGGAACAGGTAAATAGGTTCAGAAGTGAATAGCGATAAAACCGGTTCGGAATAGTTGAGCGACGCCAATAGTATAGATCACTATGGAAGAATGCTTCTGTCACTATAGATGTAACCTATATATTCTGTGTTGCTTTGAAATTACTGTACTTGTAAAAGAAAACTTCTCCACTTATTACAAGTGCTTTTTCATGATGTGAAAAATGTTCTAGATACAGTGAGCTAAAACATGAGATGGGCTGAGTTGGTCAAAGTCCACTGTAAGAACTTCTGTGGCTGTCGTGAAAGAGAGACTGACTTTTTATTTTTGAAGCCACTATGCGAAGGATGAGTGGAACATCCAACTTGATTCCTGCGAATGTTGGATAGTGTTCTTGAATTGAGGACGAAAATTAAGTAGACTTTCATAACTTCATCAAGAAATGACGAGGTTTTTAGTAAACGATATCATTCAGTTACTAATATGAAGAAGTGGTACTTTGGAAAAAACAATCGTAGCACATACCCATGAGATAACTTTTGCAGTTCTTTTATTTGACATTAGTTATTAGTTCTATTGCCTAGGAGCTACTGGTCAGTGAATTTAGTAGTACATCTCTATCATTATTGCTTTCATTGAGGGTCACGAGTATGGCCATCCAGAATGCCATTGTATTAAGAGCTATACTCAGTTAGCGGTATTTGTTCATCATGTGCTCATCAAAATAATGTTTCCATGATTTATTTTCTCTACAGATTATATAAGTTCTACCTGCAGTGCGTTGAATCTTAAGTGGAAAAGTCGGCGATGTGAATAATTCTGCTGATAATCTATTAGCTGGGTGATAAACAACACAGCAAATTATATTTTAGTATTTCTTGTTCTATCCATGCAAAATATAACATCGCGATTAGACTTTTTCGTTGGACTGCTTCTCGACAGTTCTGAAGAAGACTTTTATTCAAGTTACGTTAGTGATATCGGATTTCTTTAAAGATCAACAATAAGTTTTTAAATCATTTCTTACCAGTTGAAGCCATTGAACTGCGATTTCCACCATTTCAAAAAGCAGTCGTAGAGTCATCCAACCATAAGTATCCAATGGGGTAGTAATTTTGTCTCATAGTTAGTTTTAGATCCGTATGTTTTGCGTTGTCTCATTTCCTTGAGTGTCATGATCATTTTGATTCAAATGATAACGAATTGTATTTCGTCAATTGTTCTATCTATAATAAAATTTTGAAAGCATTTTGTTATATTGTTGATGAAAGGGACGATTTATACTGAAGAACTCGAACACATATAGATACATATGAAAAGCACCAATCGTTCACAAATATTCAAGTGTTTTATCATAAAAAATGCCGTGCTGATTTTTTCTTTTGAGTTAGAAGCGCTTATGGTAGATAGCTTCTCGTGTCCTCATCATGTTTTCCAGACCTTTTGATGATCTAATAAAAATGTTATGCATTTTTCTGGATTCTAAAATGATTCTATCACTAGATCATGATAGTCATAGAAATAGTTCAATATATTTTTGCAGTCACGTTGAGATCTTCTTTTCTCCTGTATGTGAAATGAAAGCAATCAAAAATAGATTTGATTTTAACCAAATACTTTTAATCACCGGTCTGCCTTCGTTCTTTTTATGACACGTAACAATATTCGTGTATGCCATATTCTAAACTAGAAAATCATATCTCATCATACTAGACAAAACTGTTTAATCGATTAGCGATAAGATAAAGGGAATTCTGGAATTGTTGTATACAACTCGCAAGAAATTTGAGCTTCTTCAGAAGTGTTTACCGTCATCTGTATATGAACTCCTTTATACATCAGGTTGTGCTAGAAGAAAACAGGTGTATTCTCGATGAGACCATCGAGATATCTGGAAAAAATTGTAAAGACGCGAGAAACTACCTTCCTAAATGCTTCTAACCAACAAGAAAATATCAACATGACATTTCCTATGACCGAAAACTAGAATATCTACGAATGATTGGTATTTTTTTATATACATCTAAGTGTACCTGACTTCTTCAGTGTAAAACATCCCATTCATCAACAACATGACAAAATGTTCTTAAAAATTCCTAATAGATAGAACAATTGATGGAATACAATTTGGTATAGTAGGAGTCAAGATGATCCAGGAAATGAAACAACAAAAACGATGTCGTTCTAAAAAACTCTGAGGGAAGATTACAACTTGAATGAATTTCGTATTCCTTTTTCTCAAAGAAAGGGTTGAGTATGCTACAGAAAATATCTAAATTCGTTTGCCTGACTGCCTTAACTAATTAGAGTGCATGATTCATGAATAGCTGGAAACTGGGTAATGACAGTAGCGAAGACATACATCCATTGGCGATCGAAAACGGTCAATCCCAAATCGAGTCCCTGAAATGTCGATACCCAATTAATAGATCAAGAACTAATAAAAATAGAGTTTCAGGAAAAGCGTTTCCACAATCCAATCTAGTATCCATTATAAATCTTCGGATAGAAATTATTTAAGAACTTAGCACGATTGTGAATAATGATGATCCTGTTTTATAAAGTGACCCTAACTCTGTGTAACGTATATTTGATCTTTTCAAAGATTCTATTCAGAGTTGCTCTAGGATACTCTTCACGTTTTTCTTATCGATGAAACTTTGGGATCTTTTCAGAATTTTCTGCTGGCGTTGATCAGAATCGTGAGAGGAATAAATGGAAATAATTAGCTAACTAAGATTTTCGCATGATGCTGTTTAGAATATGCTCAAGAAAGTAGTTGTGAACCTTACGACAAATTATGGCTCATAGAGATCCAAATCTTGACAGGTATAAATGACAAAATGTGCAAATAGTATGGCACGTCCCTGTACAGAGCTTTCAAAGCCTTTATTCTTCGAGATCGTTCTAGCTTACTTTCGAATAGAAATGGAGCGTAAACCTAAACACACGACTAGATGTTTATTTCAAATATTAACCGAAGATATTTTTCGGGCTTGACTAGAATCAGTAGAGATTATGTCAAGCGAGTAACTCCATTAAGTTGAAATCGTGTCCGACACCAGTCACAAACAGGCAACTTTTTCGCTTTATTGACATTAGAGAGCACTTTCCACATAGCGAAAAGATTCTTCGAGTATGTTCGACGAGAAACCTCCCTTCATAGAATTCAGCAAGAAGTTGAGTTTGTAGTCAAGTGTCCGACTATCTATTGTGTGAAACACTGAGTGAAGCTACTTTATTCATCTTAAATCTCAAGGTTTTCTATTGGCGTATTTTGCGTGACAGGAGCTTCTACAAATGCAGCCTCTGTGTGGTATCCCAGAAGAATTGGTTCGTAGAAATGCAACAAGTTGTAACGAAATGAAAAGGAAATAGTTTTATTCAGATTTTAGGAAATAGCTGTTGAACTACTCCCATGTGAATTTATGCGTCAAAAAAGTCGAAAGAAACAAAGAAGTTGTGAATCGAGAATAGCTATGATGGTTGCTCCCGAGATGAATTTTGTGAGTTCACAGAGGAAAGGTTGCTTGCAAGAAAATTGGAGCGAAATGCGCAATGATTCGTCCAATAATTGCCAATCCCATGATTACATCAATTATTACAAGCCTTAGATCTACATTTCTCTTAGAGAACAGCGGATTTCTCTTTCTTCCAGAAAAGAACTAACAAATCCTTAGAATGAGCAATACTCAGTGGACAAATTGCAACATTATTGCTCTTTCAAGTGATGAAAACTGCAAATTAATAGCTTCAACTGATAAAAGTTTTAAAAAATTGTAGTTGGCATTTTCAAAAAAAAAAGAAACTTCGGACGCCAGATACTAGGGTAAACGACTAAGTTTTTCTTCTCCACATAGACTAAACGAGATGCGGTGTGAGCAGTTAAGAAATGTTCACAATGCTACCTTTTTGAGTGGTATCTTGAACGTAAAACATAAAAGTCTTCACAAAATTATAAGCTCTGGATTGATGAATGAACAAAACAGTTCACGAAGTGGAAGTTGAAAACTTATCGAAACGTTTAAGGAAAGTAAAATTTTTTCAACAATGCAGACAAATTTTTCTTTCAAGCTGTTTTCATAAATGATCATGTTATATGAATGATACACACACAAATCTACGAGCTAAATCCTGAAGAATAGTTCATTCGCCATCGATATTCCCTGGATATTCTTTGCTACGTACGGTTCGCAACAGACTACCGTCGAACTTCAACAGAAAAAATTACTTTTCACTAAAGAGAATTTTTCTTTAGGTTGGCATTACAAGTTTTGGCAAAGGATGCGCCTTACAAGGTGATCCCGGTATTTATACACGATTAGCTTACTATCATGACTGGATCGACTTGATTGCGGATGAAACAGAACCACCAACACCAATGACATACACATGTGACAATACATTAGTACCTTGTGGTTGTAGTTATAATGATGTTGAACTTACTCCATCGAGAATTGTAGGTGGTGAACAGGCGATACCTAATAGTTGGTCAATGATGGTTTCTCTTCGAGGAGCTTCATCCGGTCGTCATTTTTGTGGTGGTTCTATTCTATCAGATTCTTATATTCTCACAGCAGCTCATTGTGTCGATACTGACTTACCTAGTGATGTAATAGTTGCTGCTGGTATGCATAATAAATCCGATGAAAATGCTG